CTCCTCCTCCTCCTCCTCCTCCTCCTCCTCCTCCTTCTTCTTCCTCCTTCCTCCTTCTTCCTTCACCTCCTCCTCCTCCTTCTTCCTCTTCTTTTCCCTTCTCCTTTTCCTCCACCTCTTCTTCTTTGACTTCTTTTGGGAGAGGTGTCACAAGGGTGGGATAGCAGACCTATGAGGACTAGAAAATGAGTGTGATCAAGGTGCATGATGTGCAATTCCCAAATAATCATTAAAGATATTATGTTGGAAAAAATAAGCATAAATATCAAGTTTCTTTGAAAAATCACTATGAAATCTTTACTCAAATGTTTTAATTGCCTAGGGAACTCCTAATATCAAGCTTTATCTTCTGCATGAGAACTTTATTGATAGATCCTGAGTTGCTGGACTCTTCATCCCCAAGCTTAGTATATATGAGATAACAGGAGACCCTGGGAGAGTAACTACTATGCTATTATTTGCGTCTTGAGTTTCCAGGGTTTTCTTTTATCTATCTCTGTGCTCTCATGACTCCTTTTATGGAAACAACATGCCCAAAGTAAGATTATCCACCCAATTACTTTTTCAACTTCTTTGAAGTATAAAAGTGATGACATACTCTGAATAAACTGTTCTTGAGACATGATGTGCTCCTGGGCAAGGTTTCAACCAAAGTTATGAGCTCTGGAGTTGGATGAGACAATAGAGTGCTCCAGAATTGAAACTGAGATGTTGAACTTCAAGTACCTACCTGCATTGGCAAGCCAAAAGATGCTGATTATTCCTGGCAGAGTAACCACGGGTTAGATCGCTCCCTCAGCTCAAGGCAATTCCTAGAGAAGAGCTCAGCAGTATGTCATGAGTAATTAAACATTATTCTGTACTTTCTGAAGGGCTGGGGGCTTTGGTCCTAGAAGAGGGATGAGAACAATTATGGCCATCATCCTGACCAATAAATATTTATCTATTTCTTTATGTAAGAATATTGTTTTATGTTAAATAACTAATATTATACATTAATTATATATGAATCTTATATAAATGTTCTTTATATAAGATTTTTTAAACAAACCTCATCTAGCCATTATACTTAAGAGGGTATCTAGTTCTCTTGAGCATATATATATATGATATATATATATATCATATATATATATATATATATATATATATATTGCTAATTATGTAGGCAAGTGCCCATAAATATTGTCTTTTGGAAAAGAATTGTTAGAAACAAAGTATGCTTGGGGCAAGTGAGATGATTCATTGAGTAATAACACCTGCATGGAGCCTGACAACCCGAGTTTGATCACTGGAACCTATGCAGTAGAAGTAGAGAATTGATTCATCCCCATAGTTCCCTGACTTCTACAAGCACACCATGACATGCCGCCCTGAACCTTTCCCCCAAGACTAATAGAACACCAAAGAAGAGGGAACAGAAGATTTTAAGGGACAGGATTCAGGAAGGATTGTGGCAAGGCTGTGTCTTCTACATATGATAGAATCACGGCACACTTGAACTCATAAGAGCTATGGTTGCCTGCACAAAACCTGCACAAGGTAAATGCAGTCAAATTTCCAGGAGGAGTAGGAGATATTTAACCATGTATCTTGTTGCATATTGCTATTAATGTTGCTACCAATATACATAAGATAATTAAATTCTTACCATAACTAAATATTCCTGTATTTTAAATTACTAATTCACATTATCTTTTGCCTGTTTATGTTTTAAATAAAGGAGTCACTATGTCACCATGTAGGCTGGCCTCAAACTTGTGGTAAATCTCTTGTTTTAGCCTCCTGAGTATTGAGATTAAAGATGCGTGCCATTACACCCAACTTCATAAATATTGCGTGAAGTAAGCATCACCATATTAGTCCCTATTTTTCAGATGAAAATGTAGGACATGGGAAGGTTAAGTCATTTCCTGCAGGTCACACCGCTGGCTGGCATTAAGAAAAGTAAAAAAAGTAAAAGTCTAACCCAGCTAGTCTCCTTCCCATGCTTACATTCAGAATAAAGCATGCATGTAAATTAAAGACTGTAATCTCATTATCAAATACAGTTAGTTAATGGGCTAAGAGTGTTCCATTGCTATCCTGAGATAGCTGTCTGTCTGTAGCATTTAATGTAATTAGACTAGGCTTTATTTATACAGTGATCAAAGTTTGGCAATAATGGGTGGGAGTTTTGGTATATTTGGTTTTTTTATATCAATCTTTGTGTATTTTCTGAATATTCTAGAATATCTTCAACAATTATGGGTTAAAGGAATAAAGTAAAATTACCCTTGATTTTCTAGGAGAAAATACATCCACCAATGATAAATCTTAATATTCAAATCAACTGAAGCTTTGGACAAGGAAAAGTGTGTGTGTGTGTGTGTGTGTGTGTGTGTGTGTGTGTGTGTGAGAGAGAGAGAGAGAGAGAGAGAGAGAGTTTATTTCCCACCCCCCCTTTTTTTTGCTGTCCCAGTGCCTAAATAAAAGTGTAAAGAGTACAGTGATTTGAGGCACTTATAAAAATAAGTGTTTATAAAAGTCCTGTTAATAATAATTCTAATAGTACTGACATTTTAGATATATCTGCTGAACACTCAAGATAATCTATATTTAATCTTTGGGGTTTTACATTGATCAATCTTAATTATGACTAAATCCCTGAAGCATGGGTGTTAGGAAGGTCTGGGAAGTTTCCAGGACCAATGATTTGGTTTTCACTTACAAAATAAGCAACACATTATCTATTCGCAAAAGTGTCAATGTTAGAAGCTGTCAAGTCACAGTTTCTTTTTCCAGTACTGAAAGCAATTGAGTTATGATCATTCCACATTCTGGGAAATTTTCTTTTGCATAACCGTTCAATCACTTTGAGTGGGCAGCAGTACAGCCTTATTACCTTTGCTTATTTCTTTTTCACACGTACTCAGGCCTAATTGCAATGCATAGCACTGAAGGTGCAATGCATAGCAACTTGCAGAAACATCCATTGTCTTTGCAAGACACTCTTCTGATTGATAGTTCTTGCCTTGTCAGGCAGAGCTGTCTGTACTTTGAGTAGAAAATTGCACTGTCTTCAATCTCTCCAGAGGTACGCAAGCTTTTCCATCCTTCTGCAGAGGTACTATACAAACCAAATATTCTCCAAGAACACCTCAACAGAGACAAGTTCTTCCTGTCACTTTCAATGCTAATTCTAACATATGGCTTTTTTTGAGTCCAGAAAATTCAATTATAGACCATTCCAGCCTTCATAATGTTAGTCATAATGAATGACCTTCCTTGGATTTTCAATGTGACTGGTGTACATAGAGAACAACATAGTGGCTACCATAAATTTGGAGAGAATATGGAGTATCCCCTTGGGAGCTATCAGAATTATCAGGTCCTCCTTCAGGAAATGAGAGGAAGTGCTAACCCAATGGACATTGATTTGTTCCATGTTCGAAGGTTGCTGAAATAATAAATCACCTTGAACAAGCAAACCAATCTGACACAAAGAAACTGAGACTATTCTCACATCAGAACAGCAAGTGTCATGCCTGCAAATCCCATGGAGAAGTTTGCTAACAGCACTCCCAGAGTAGGAAGAAGGTAATGTGGAAATATAAAATAAATCATGTGCCAGGGGAAAACTTTCCTTGACCCAGTTCCCCGCAGGAAATCTGCTCTAAGTAGACCTTGGCACCAGTTAGGTCAATGGATCCTCTGTCAGGGCAAGCATGTTGTCACAGTAATACTGTGTTCAGAAAGTCCAATCCCCAGGATCAAAGAGTTGAAATAAAATACGCTGCAGGAAAGTACCTTCTCCCAGTGTCAGAAGAAATGGACATCTTCATCTTCATTTCTTAGGCCTGCAGGAGACCTAAGAATTAAAATTCTTAATTGTTTTCTCTTTTTCTAGAGCTCTACAGTCTTGAGATACTCTGTGTGCTGACCACAGGACAGGGCACAAAGCCTTGTGTTTCCATAAGTGAGGTCAAAGGAGACAATTTATCTATTTCTATTGGCTATCTCCTGTGAATTGTGAATCTTGTCAGTTTCTAAAAAGATTATTACTATGGGGGACCAGAGAGCATCAGCATGCAGGCTTCTGGCTTCTTCAGAGCTAGAGCAGTCACCCTGCAACAAGGACACCTACTCAGCAGCCTCAGAGGTCAGTGCAGGACCTGAGTTTTGGCTGCAGTGTGCTCAGTATCCCCTGAAAGACTGAAGCTTTGGTTCCCATAGTCTCCAAGGTCAGCATGGTTTTGATTTCTGAGGTACCTGTGGTCATTGCAGGATCTGGAGTCTGTACCATTGTGGCTCCAGGTTTTACTTAGGGCCTATGGCTCTAAACGCAGCCCCTGTAGAGTAGTCAGACCTCAGTGTGTCTGAAGTTTGATATTCTGCCTCCAACAGATCCATAGAATTAAGGGAGACCAAGGTTGTCACTTTACCTGGTGGTTTAGTTGCTCAGTGTGCATCCCTACTGTTGGTCCTGTTGACACATAGATAAGACAGGGTCTCCTCAGTGACTGAATGACAATGAATACCAGGCCTTATCAGTCTCCATTGCTGAATTTTAGACAGATGTTCCTCTGGGGATATTCACAAAGAACAAAATATTCTAAAAGCAACTTAGTGAAATAGGCACATAAGTCTTCTATGACTATGTGTCCCAAATGCTATAATATTATGTTCAGCTATTTGTGTGCAGAGATGGAGGTATGACCCGGTACTACTTCATTCCCTTTGGTTTGCTCTAGGGACAGATGGGGTCTAGGCTGGCCCAAGCTCCAGAATTGTCCCTGGCTATAATCAACCTTCCTTCTTCCTCAAATGCACTACAGAATAATGTCTTATTCCGTGTGCACACCATCAAGTAAATACTATATTTTTATGAGACCCTAGATGACCTACCCCCAACTCCATTGGGCTACCTGATGGTCTCTCCTGCTTGCTAGACACGTGCTTGCACCAAAGACAGAACTCTACATGGTTCTATGCAGGCAGCCATGGCCTATACTGACAGTTGTCGACAGAGTTGTGGTACCATTTGGAAACACAGGAGACCTGTTTGTCTCAGAAAGGTCTTTCTAATAGATGGTTGAGAAGTAGCATGATGCCTTGTTAATGTAGTCCTAATGCTCTAGTTAAGTCCTACACCATATTTCCTTGGCTTTCCCTGAAAACACACATACGGGTAAAATTATACAAACCGAGGAGGTTATATTTAGGAAGACACACACATATACACACAAACACACACATACACACACACACAATAGCAAAGAAAAAACAGAGGTCATGAAGTTGGGAGAGAACAAAGAAGGTTGTATAGGAGTGTTTGGAGGGAGGGAAGAGAAGGAAGAGACTGTAATTATAATCTTTTTAAAAAAGTAATAAGAAAGTAAACTACTGAATGCTAAAATTCTAATGTTTTGCATATTTCACAGAAAAATTAATTGTTGATTAGACACATCTCACTCACTTGTACCTTTAAAATCTCCTAGTTGTTTACAACAATCTCTACAACATAGCAACACATCTTACTTTAAGAAGAATATGGTCAGAATACTGCTGAGTGAAATATGAAACTGAAGAAATGATAAAAGATGGGGTATTTTTATTCATTAAACAAGTTTGCCACATGGTCATAGTTTTTAGCATGTCCCTTTGTACCACAAACACTTAAAGAGCATCTATTGACATGACACTTAGTCCCTGGGCAGAGAGAGAGTGTGCTTTATAGTTGGTTATGCTTTCTATGTGAATTGCATGAGGTTCCTTAGGGGAGAAAGTGTGCAAGAAAGCAGGACATGTGATATCAGGAAGCAAAAGCTCCGTTAAATAGAAACATATGAACTGATAGGAGAGAGAAAATGGTGAGGGAGACAGGGAGAACACACAAAGGGAAAGGTA